ATACTCAGGACTGCTAGTGATGTGACGAAGTCTGAAGATCTGACTTGAAAACTGAGTGCCGTCATCTGTGATTAACTTCTGGGGATGCCGTGCACAGAAAATAACTTTTGATTCAGATTGAGACTTTGGAGCCACAAATATTTTTTTCTGTTTTTTTTTTTTTTTTGTAGAACAGATTTATACAGTTTTACTACAGACACCATGGTTAAACTATGGTGTAGCAAAACTTTGCTTAATTTCTGGTTACCGTGGTTTAACAATTAAATAATGGAATAATTGTGTTAATCTAGATGAATGAGCTTCATCACCTTCACTGTCACTTTGTTTAGTGACACCCTGTAGTGAAATAATCACATATGACACTACTTTCTCAGGTTGGCTTGAACACCCTATGTGTTGTGTGGAGTTGGAAGGTAAAGGTTCTTCTTAGTATTAAGAAAGAAGAAACCTTTCACTTATAAACTTCTGACCACATACATCTAATAAATGAGTCTAAAGGAGCAATTCACGCAGAATGCATTTTTAGGTCAAAAAACTCAAGAGGGCGCTCAACGTCAAATGTAATATAACATGGAGACTCTTGACTCTTGAGTGAGAAAACTTTATTGATAAATGCAAGCAAATCCAGACAGCCAATGAACAGCAGTAGTAAAGTGAGATCTGTCTGTCTTATAGAAAAAAACAATAAAGCCTTTCAAACTGAATTAAAAAAAACTGACACTGAAAAATGTAAAGAGAGAGAGAGCTTTTTTGTTCAGCCAGTAGAAGGGTTTGAGACAAGATCTTTAAATTGGGTTTAAAGCCCCAAATCAAATATGTAGATTAGATGGTTAAAAAGGGAAGCAGTAATGATCAGTATTTATCATGACAAACACTCACATTTAATGTGAGGATTTTTTGCTTTTGTTCTCAAATAATCTTCTAGTCAGCCACTTTATTTTCCTTATTTGAGATAAAATTACTTCTATCATGACAACTCTCTGAAGATTTTAGCATGGTAATAGATATGACAGTGTTGATGTATTTGGTCTTGGCAGAATAGATCTGCTACGCTGCTGCTGCTGGTTTTTGCAGATTATTGCTGCTGCTGCAAAGCAAGTATAGGAACTTGCTACTGCCGATACATACACCGATACGCTGCTGTGAGTATTTAAGAGATACTGCTGCTGCAAGAATAGCATATACAGGTGGAGATGGGGAAGGTGGGGGGTTTCAGAGGAACTCTGAAGCGCTGCAAACTGCTCTAGTGAACGTTAATCAGCCATTTAAACATAAAGGAGCAAGCGGTGTATAAAGTACCTGAAAGCCATACTCAAGTAAAAGTATGTGATATTTATTGTACTTAAGTACGAAAAGTTTTTATTTATTTTCTTAAACGTACTTAAGTATTGAAAGTAAAAGTACAAGTAACTGCAAAATGGAAAATTTAATATAAATATATACTGTATATATTTACTTTTTACTCTAAAGTTTGATAATAAAAAGGTCATTCATCCATCCATCCATTCTCCAAACCACTTGTCCTCTGTAGGGTCACGGGGGTGCTGGAGTCTATCCCAGTGTCTTGGGCCGCAGCACCCTGGACAGATGGCCAGTCCCGAAAAAGGTCATGTCCGTGTTATTTATCAATCACTATGATTTATAAAAGGTAAAGCTTGCTGTGACGAGTCGGCTGCCTCCCCCTAATTATCAGCATCACCCCGTCCCTTAATCGCCGCCCTTCGCCAGGCTCCCGACAGGATTGGGTGCGTGAGAGAGGAGGGGCGCTGAAATAGCCAGGGTTGGCAGCGTGTGATGGGGCACACCTGAACCGAATGGAGCCTCATCACCGCCGCTGTTTAAATGCCGAACGCGCCTCTCCTCGGGAGACCGGTCTCTTCCCTGTGCATGCACGCTGGTGTCCTCGTGGGTCCAAGAAGGGTGCGTAGAGGGACTCCCGTGCCGCCAGAGTCGTGAGCTACCGGACCCACGGTCCGGACGATAACCGCACCCGTTACACGGCCGTCGGGCCAGGATGCCGGGCCGTCTAGTCCCTTCAAGCGCCTTGGGCAGAGAGAAGGGGAGCGCGTGCGGCTGCCGGACTCCACCCCTTACCTGGACCCTGCCTGACCTCTGCCCTTCCCTGCATGAACCCCGCAGCACAACGAGATCCCCTGTTTTATTTTGGACACTTTGTTTATATTTTGTTAATAAAAGCCTCTCCAAGGCCTGACGCCACACCCACTGTGTCTGTTGCTTGGTCGTCCTGCCACAATATATATATATATATGTGTGTTCATACACAGCTTGAGTAGTTTTAACTCTTTCTTCCATTTTGTATTTTTGGGTAAGAATAAGAAACACTTCATCCGGGAGTTAGTGTCTTTCATTCCAACATAAGAAAACATTTCTGGAATCTGCATCTGAAATAGGATTTAGATGTATTTACACAGTTTATGTATCTCAGAGGGGACATGGATGCATTTAACCTGCAGTTACAGATGCATAAATAGGCCTAAAGTGTTGTTTTTAACATAAAACGTTGAATACTGATATTTAAAATATTTAAAACATGAAAAAAAGTCGAAATGTAAAATTAAAACCGCCAGCAGGTGACAGCAAGTGACTGTTATTGAGATTCAACCGATTCATTCAAACGACTGATTCATTCAGAAACAAAGCATTTGACTGTGTTAATGAGTGAATCACTGAATCATTTATTCAACCGATTCGTCCAAAAAGCTGATTCATTCAATAATTAAACACTGTCCATTGCTCAGAGTCGCAAAACAGTGCCATGATCTTTGTTAGGAACTATTTTCGTTTGCAAAATTGAGCAAAAACAAGCAATATTATGTCTAAAATGTAAGTCACTTATTGCTTTACTGAACTTCTATAAACTGATTATTAAATGTGTTCATGCTGATATCTGCAGAACAACGGTACTCTATATAGATTAAGTTAACTATATTAAATTATATAAATATAAAAAGCATATAGAAACATTTTTGCCATCTACAATTTAGAATGCCTGGAATTTTGAATTTTAATATTCTAATAAATCAACGTGCGTGCACTCTCTGTGTGTGATTTGGTGATTTAGCCTACTTGATAATGTCAGATCGCACATCATTACAACAACACTTACCATATTATAGCAGACGATGCTGTATCGCACTCCCCAGACTCGACTTGAGTAGAAAATGAATCGTCCGCGGTTGTGCACATGAGCAAAGAGCAAAGGTGTTTTTAGGAGTCTAAACTTGCAAACGTCAGACCACTGATTCGTCAAACCTGCTTTCCTGCAGTCAGTGTTCTTCTGACTTCTGGCTATTTTGTAGTAAGTAACGAATATGCTTCGGAGAAATGTATCGGAGTAAAAGTATACATTTTAATTAGGAAATGTAGTGGAGTAAAAGTAAAAGTTGGCTGAAATATAAAAACTCAAGTAAAGTACAGATACTCCCAAAAGAAACTTACTACTGTAACGAAGGATTATTACTTCGTTACATTACACTACTGGAGCAAGCTTATTGGCTGAATATGCAACATGAACAAATCAGCTAGTGCCAAGTAGTTAATGCTGTGGATATCATCAGTTTGCGTTAAAGACCAACAGCCTGCGCCATCTAGAGTTTCATGACAGAACTTGTTATATGAATTGTATTTATAGATTTTTTTTGTGTCATGTCTGTGATTATCATTTGCCATGTAGCCTAGAACAGCTGCGTGAAATCGAAACATTATTAAGCTTTTTTTGTATTTTATTTTACTTTCCTTTGTCAGTGTTAGAAACTCCAACAGTCGTCCTTAATTTGACAGATGCCCATCTTATTTTTGTCAAGTTGCTGAGATTTTCATGACACTGAATTGTCCTCATCCAATTGAAACCAAAATTCATTATATACAGTACATTGTAGGCTATGGGCCCTATCATACACCCGGCGCAATGCGACGCAAGTGTTTTTTTGCTAGTTTCAGCCCGACACAGTTATAATTTTCACGTCCAGTACCACATTGTTTAAATAGCAAATGCACTCGCACCCATCTGTTCGCCCACGGGCGTGCTGGTCAGAAAACGAGGTGTGTTCAGTTGCTTTGTTGGCGCGTTGCTATTTTGAGGCAACTGAAAACGACTGCCCTTGACTAACAAAAACCTGCTCTAAAGTCTATGGCGTAGTATTTTATTGAAATGTATTTATTTTTGTTATTTAAAGGGTGCGTTAGTAATACGCATCTATAGTTACATATAGATGTGTACACATTGCGTGTACACTTTGCTTATTACACACACAGGGATGTGCAGCAGCACACAAACATTTTTAAATATTAAAAATAAAAGGATTCCTCTGGAGAAGCCTTTAGTCTTTCCTCTTGCAAATTCCGCCATTTAAATAGCGAATCCGCCATGGTGCAAGCACAACTGGATTTTAAAGGGAATGGGAGATGAGACTGTGATTGGTTTATTGCATGTTACGCCCAAAACACACCCATGACTCATTAATAGACTAGGTATAACCCTTTTGGACAGACCATTTTTTTCAGTCGTTAAACTAGCAAAAGAGGATTCAGACCATGCACTTAGATCGGTAAAATAGGGCCCAACAGCTGACTGTAGATTGAAAAGAATGCAACATGAACGCGCGGACACTGCATGTATTGGCTAATTCTGTTGTGTGACACCACATTCATTTGCATTAAAGCCTTTTTCTCAACAAAAAGTGTTTCCAAATTAATTTTTGTGACATTTGAAGTATCAGTGTAGAACGGAAAAAGATTGTTTCAACATTTGAGAAATGTTATCAGCAAATGGCATTTCCATCAGCTATATTTTGAATCATTGGATGGAAACCTGGCTAGTGAGGATGACAATGATGATGAATACTATAAAGATAAACAAAGATGTGTTTCTCACAGGCTGATTTTATCAGCAGTTGGTAGCAGATCAGTTCTGTCCTTTTCTGTCTCTCTTTCATTCTTGATAGTTGACCTTTTAACTTCTTCATAAACGTGTCTCATTTTTACTCTCTCAAGTCCCGCTCTTCTTCATTCTCCTCCTGTTGTTTTCTCTCCTCTTCCTCTCTCTGCCTCCTCTGTGTCCAAACGGCTACATCATTGAAAGCTCCAGCAGCAGCAGCAGATCCAACAATGGCTCCAACAGCAGCTGTAACACCAGGAGCTCCAGCAAGAGCAGCACCAACAAGGGCAGCAACAACAGCTCCAGCACAGACGGCAGTAACAATTAAAACACTGCGAAAATAATTAACTTGTGGTTTTCTCCTCTCTTCCTCTCTCTGTCTCAACTCCTCATCTCTCAGTGTTCGTTCTCTTTCCTCTTGTTTAAATCTGTGAGCATCTTCGTACATCTGATTCCTGTAGTGTCCTCCTCCATTCTGCTCTATCATTGTGTTAGACTTCTGTTCAAGATCATAGGCCTGTTTTCTGTTATTCTGATCTTTATTGTTGAAGACGTGATATCTGCCGTCACACTGATCAACTAGACGTCTTAATGCATTGTTTTTCTCAATGGCTTGCTCCATGGATTCTCCTCTTAGCAGATCTCCATGAGTGAAGAGAATGATGGAGTATTTTAACACTCCCTCTCCAAACATCGTTTCAATCATCTGAGGAATCTTCTGCTCCTGTTCAGTGATTTTCATATTCACATTAAACACAATGAGAAAAGCGTGTGGTCCAGGACTGGATAAATACACACTCCTGGCCATCTCTGTCATTAACTGCTCTGGATTCATCTCGGTCTCAAAGAATGGAGGAGTATCAACCACAGACACTTTCCTGCCTGAAACTGTGGCGCGTTTCTCTGTACATTCACGGGTTACTGCATTTGAGCCACCTGTAGATTTGAACACGTTCTGCCCCAGTATTGTGTTTCCAGCTGCACTCTTGCCGACACCTCTTCTACCCAGCAGCACAATCCTTCTGAATGAGCGACTGTCAGCAGAGATGTCTTGGATATTGATGGGAATACTTTGCCAAGGATTTTTGGAAACTGTATGACAAAATAAAACAGATTACAAACATTCACGTATTTCACTTTGGCATGCATGTCTTTGCGAAATAGACCTTTATCACAGTCTGCGTGTCACCACATCCGGCTACGATTAGTTGCGTAAAGGAATTTCTGCATGCATTATGGACAGGCGCCAGGAAATTAAACTAGTTACTTCGCAAACATCAATATTTTATATATACGTCAGATAAACTGAGTTTGGTGTCTATAGAATATGTATGTGCTGAATTTGACAAAAAATAAATTGCCACAATTCCCTGCTATAGGCACAGCCATTGATTCAGACAGCAGCAAATTTTTATTTATTTATATGCTACTATTTGAACGCAGTTTGTATGATAGTACAAGTATGATAAAGGCCTATTACTATGCTAACATACTACAGTTTCTATACAGTAAATAGCTGTGTATGCAGATAAAAGAGGCAATATCACTAATGCATAAACAACTTTTGTTTGTTGTATTTTTACATATTTTCTTATATTTAGGCCACTCTTTTTATTGATGCTAAAACATTTCTTAAAATGTATCATACTGGGAAACCTGTGGATACTGTCAGAAAGCGAATTAAATATTATTTTACATTATTTTGAATGAAAACAGCCTAATCCCACCTTGCCTTATGTGAACCCCCTCCCTCAGATCTAGGTATAATAGACTTACATCTCTGTAAGGTCCTCTGGAAAACTTTAGTTATCAGAGATTTCACTTGGTCACTTGGAACTTTTGTCTTGTTGTTGAACACGTGGAATCTGCCCTCATATTTCTGAGTAAGAGTCTTCAAGAATTCTGTCTCATTAATGACTTTATTTATGGTCTTGTTTCCTTCATCCAGCTGATCTACTCTGGTGAAGAGTAACCAGCTGTTTTCAATGCGTTTTTCTTCCAGCAGCTCCTCAATCTTTTCCACGATTTTCTGGTCTTCTTGAGTGAATCTGTCTCCTTGGAGAACCAGCAGAAACACACACAGGCCTGATATACAGTTCTGGAGGACCTCTTTATATTGTCCAAGTTCTTCCTCACTCTCTGTACCAGAAAATCCTGGTGTGTCATAAACAATGACTGCAAATCCACAAACATCACCGACTTCTGCAGCAATTTCTCGAGTGACAGATTTGTAGCTTTTCATTAAACTAAAAGCTTGTCGTCCCAGTATTGTGTTTCCTGTTGAACTTTTCCCAGCTCCTGTTCTTCCCAACATGACCAAATGCAAGCACACTTTCGGCATTAAGTGTGTTCCCCCTGTTTTTATTCCACCACCTAGGAATAAATAACATTAACAGTGTAAGACAAAATAGAACAGTTTGGGTGCATGTATGTATTGACTTCCCTCTAACCTGATCTTCCTAATTCAGTCGGTACAGCACTTCCAATTTATTTCAAATATAATAAAATATAGTTGCAAACTTCCACTCAATGTTGATAATAATATTAATTTAATATTCATATTACATAAACACATTTCTGTCAGGACTACTATTGTCAAAATGATAGATACTTAGCATAAAGTTTGGTTTGGCGGTATGGTTCTGTTCTGGGCAAAAAACTCCCTGCCCATCCATGCAGCCTGTCATGAATGAGCAGGGAGAGCAGCAATAATAACCCCCCCAGGGTTAACAGAACAGAACAAGGCAGATATCATTAATGTACTTAATGATATTTAAGTGTAACACTTTATTCAAGATAAAGGAGTCTGATTAGCAAGGAATATCAGAAAGCCAAGTGCTGACTGTGGCGAAAGGAGGAGCTGGGGATGGAGGAGGGTAATTTGCTCCGGAGCAAGCTGAAAAGCTGCTGAATAATACTGAATAGAGCTTATATAGGAATGCCGCAACAGGTGTCGTATTCCTATAGGTAGATGTGATCAGCTGAGAATCAGCTGATGCAAGCTTGACTCACGTGACCTGCCAGAACTAACGCTAACGCTTAATTTTTAATACATTTTTTGATGATTCCACACTCAGTCACGGCATCATCTAACTACACCTTTGTTTCTTTTGAATACGCACCCTCTAGCGGCAAAAAATTACAAATTGCACCTTTAATAGCCAAAATTGTTTATGGCAAAATTGTAAATTATCCCTTAAATATTCACCTCTTCAAATATTCCCCTTATTCACTTGGAACTTCATCTTGACTCTAACTAGATGTTATGACTGGGTGCTGGGCAGGCAAAGAGCAGGCAAGGGAGCGGATTAGTGATGTTAGGTTCTTGAAGGAATCGTTCTTTTGAGCCAGTTCTCAGGAAGTAACCGGTCAAGCTGGTTCACATATCGAACTGAATCGAACTTTAGTTCTGGGTTGATGATGCATGACGCACAGCCGTAAGTACCACGTCCAACTCAAAAAGAACCGATTGAACCGGTTCAACCAACTGTCGAAGTTTGCCGAGGATTACCGAGGACTCAACAAGAACCGAATGAGCCGTGGCGAAGTTTGCCGAGGATTACGAAGATTCTGATTGAGTTGACGATACTGTGCAAGCCTGAGGCGCGTACTGGAAAGATGCTTATTAGGACTGTTATTAATTTACATTTTATTAAAACCTGAAAAAAACCTTTCTGGCGAGTGATGTAAATACATTTTACAATAGCTTATTGTGCATGCATATTATATTTAAAGTTGCTTAAGCGAAATCAAGGAGTTTATAAGACTGGTTTATTCATTCTTCATACTGTAGACATCCGCGTTTGTGCATCAATGTCTGTAATGTGTGAAACTTTTAGGAATCTTATCCAAGTTGTAGGCTAGTCAATATTGGTCAGTCAGTTGTATCTGACATAAAGGATCAGCGAATTAAACTGTGACCACAAACACCATTAACTTAAGTGAATTATATGGCAATAATCAGCAATATGCTTTCACACAAATAACTTTATTTTTTTAATGTTTCAATATGTGTTGACAAATTACTTATTTTAATTTTTCATTGTTATAACATTGCATTGAGTTGTTAGAAAAGAAATGTGTAGAGACGTTATAGCTTGATGACGTCAGGAACCGATGAATCTGCTTTTTGAACCAGTTCAATGAGCCGATCTGTCCGAAAAGAACCGGTTCGCGGAAATGAATCGGACTAATCGGAAATGCAGCAGTTTATTCAAAGGGTAATCCAAGAACACAATCCAAAACACAGGCAAGGATCAAAACACAGGTAATCAGTCCAAACAAAACCAAGCAAGGAAGACAAGACACATAGAAACCATCAATGAAAACGGGGTAACACATCCACAACAACTGACAAGGACAGACTGAGAGACACACAGTTTATACACAGGGGCAACCAAGATAACGAGGTAACGGGGTGTGTGGTTAATCAGTGTCCATGGCAACTAACAAGGTGGCAGACAGGCAGGGAAACATGAGGTGAACACAACACTAGGGACACAGAACACAGGCAGGGATTGTGACACTAGAAGCTTGCTAGAAACTGTTCCCCCTTCTTTTTATATGGAAGCTATCTGTTTCAGTGAGGTATAAAACATTTTAAACTCAAAACATTAATTCATATTCTATTATCAGTGTTGGGCAAGTTACTTCCAAAATATAATACATTATATATTACTTATTACTTCCTTTTAAAAGTAATTAGTTACATTACAATATTACTGTCTCTGAATTGTAATGCGTTACACTACTTTTAAGTTACTTGCGAGTTACTTTCAAGCACAAACCGCAATTAGCCTACATTCAGAAATAATAGCCTAAATAAAGCGGAATGTTATAGGCCCTAATGAACAAGCAATTAACACAATAGCAAGCCTATAGGCTATTTTAGTTCTCCTCACTCCACAACAAATCCTTTAAATTTAACTGTATTCAGAACAAAACAAGAATGAAAAATATAAATTGCTAAACAAGCCAAAACAAATTAATTTAAAGCGAAACTGAAAGCAAACACCTTTGTTCTCACGCAGCCTACCTCTATCATTCGGCACGAATCCAAATGTTTCCATATTCGCGATGTATTTGAATGCTAAACTATTAGCCTATTTAGTATGTAAACCATGCTTTTGTAGGCTACTTAACGCGCTTTCCGAAAAAAAAGAAAAGAAAATATCACACTCTTCACATGAACAAATATGTGCTTGGCCCGAGCTCAGGCTGAACGACACGGATTGTACGGACGATTTTAATTTCCAGTGTATCTAAATTTGGTTGACTGTACTTTATTTTTGATAATGAACGGCTGCAATGTTTGCAATGCTGTATGTGTGTGCGTGAGGCACCGGCACAATTGAACAGCGGAAACATAAAATAATCCGTAAATTTTTGGTCATACAGATCCTTCGAAACTGCAATGTGTTTACTTTTATTTTAGGATGCACTTGTCATCTCGGTTTCCTTTCCGTGAACTTTTGCAGAGTGTAGCGCCACAAAAATTAACCAAACTCAGCAGCATATTTTACAATATTGTCTTTTTTCTTTCGTTTTGTTAATCTGTTAATTATTTGAGTCATATATTTTGCGTATTAATTCCTTTTATATGTAAACTATGATTTAATAAAAACAAATAGTTATTTTTAGTTCAACCTAATTTCTGTTGCTTGTCTGCGCTCATCCGCCGCATTCTTTCTCTTCTCTGACCCCACAGTATGCCCATCTCACAAATGTAGAATCCGTCTCAGTCATCTCAACCATTGAATTACAGCAACAGGAAATAGACAACGTATTTAACCATGGAAATTATTGTCTGGTGTTGTTTTGCGGTGTTGGTAAATTCACCACTTAATTTTGAGTTAACATATGTTGTTGTAACGTGCGTTACTGAGATTGTAACGAGTAATAATATTACTCAAATTTTATTAGTAATGCGTTATATTACTGCATTACAGCAAAAAGTAATATACTACTGTAATATCGTTACTTTTGTAATGCGTTACTCCCAACACTGTCTATTATATACTTATGTACTATTGTAGCACAATGTGACTAAACTAGCTGCAATGATAAAAATCGGTCCTCATCTAAAACTCTACTAACACACAATATACACATCTTTCTGTAATGATATTTCATTTTCATTAGCGAAATAAACAGCAAACATTGAACAACAATGGGCTGATTATTACCTTTGTTGTATTAGACGGCATAAATTATCAGGAACTTGTGACATGGGTATCAAAGTAAAAATAACTCAACTTAAAAGTGCAATCACTGTTGCTGTCAAATCATGGATTTTCTGTTGAGGTGATTAACCTCTAGACTGCTTCTGCCTGCTGTTTGTGAATCTGATGAACGTTATTTGAGACATCACAAAAAAGAAAAAAAAACATAAAAATATTTCACAGATAAAAACACTGAACTTGACAGAAAAAAAGCATACAAACATCTCAAAACTTCTTTACAGTTTGGGACTCTTGGTCTTTCATGATTAACCCTTGACTGGTATAGTTGTACATTTGTATTTATTTATTATTATTATTCCTTTTTTAGTGAAATATTCATGTTCTTGACAATAAGAGAAGATATCCCTCTGTAATCTCTGCATCAGTCCATCGGTCTCTTAGTTCTTAATCCAAGTCATTGAACTACCAAAGTGATGATCTGATCTTATTATTTTAAAATAAACTACACAGAACAACAGCACACTACACATTGTTTTGTTTTTTACAAAATGTGTCCACCAATTTTAAAGGGGACATATCATGAAAATCTGACTTTTTTGTGTTTAAGTGCTATAATTGGGTCCCCAGTGCATCTATCAACCTAAAAAACATGAAAAAGAACAACCCAGTATCTTTGTTTTGGTAAGTGTTTTTCTGTAAGCATGTGCAAAAATCTGCCAATCAGATTTCGCTCCCCTACTGACGTAGAAAGGCAATCTTATTATAATATTACCGCACCCTGGGTCTCGACTTCCACCCCCTCCGAGGATCTCTTCCAAGCCGGGGCAGGCGCTCATTCCTCAGCTTGGCCGAACGACTCTTAACCCCCCCGTGACGCATCTCCTGATCTGGGGGGGGGGGGGGGGGGGGGGGGGGCTATCAATATGCAGAGGGCGATGGTCAGACAGGCTCTTCTAGCTGTACATACCACACAAATCTGGTGGAGACCCGCCATGGTAAACAACCATGAGCCACCCTGGTGGCCATTTTGAATTGGGCTCATGGGGTAATTCATGAATTTCTCAGTGGCAGAGCCGTCATCTGAGCTGATACTTGAGGGGCACATAGGGCTTGAGGAGCCCGTCCGAACGAGCCCTTTGCCTGCAGGGCTCAGAAATGCTGTGGCGAAAGCGCACCAAACCAGCCTCAGAGTCTTTTCCTTGCTTGTAAAGCTGTAGGTCATAGGAGATGTGTGATCACCTCTGTGGTGTAATTTTTTTTATGAAGAGAAGATGTCCAAGAAAACATGTCAATTCATATACCAGTATGTCAATTTACACCAGACTGCTTTGCACATGAGGGTGAATAAAACATAATTTTCACAGATGAATCTCAAAGATGGATTCATGATCCAATCTTGAAGACAGCCCTCTGCTAGAACGGAGGTGGAGAGCACAAGCTCATTAGCATTTAAAGGTAGACACACAAAATCTGTGCATTTTTCCTCCCACCCAAAAATAGGCAGTTAAAACATGGTATAATTTTTAAAAAACCCATGGGGTATTTAGAGCTGAAACTTCACAGACATATTCTGGGGACACCTGAAATTTATATTACATCTTGTAAAAAGGAGCATAATAGGTCACCTTTAAAGGAATGAATTATGCACTGTATGTATTATTGCTCCCTTGTTTGAAATGCTAATATTAGCCGCGTTTCCACTACAGGAACTTTCTCCAGGAACTAGGGACTTTGGGGTGGTACTCGGTGTGCTTTGACTGCAGGAACCATGATCAAAACAAAATTCTGGGTAAAAATTTCCCTAGCGTGTTTGGTGTTAAGTGTCGTGAATCCAATAAAGCTTACAAGTCACATTTTAGTAGGGGTGCTCCGATTGATCGGCTACCGATCACTATCGGCCGATAATCGCTTTGGAATGTTTGATTGGCGGTCTCTAAAAGGCTGATCTCAAAAAAACGATCTCAAGCTGATGACGCGCCTGCCGTGCGAGGTTTGGCATGACATGCAGCCCCTGCAGTGGCGCGGGTGAAATAATTATAATGCTGAAGGTGATGTACAGTTCGTATAATTCCTCATTAAATAACTTATAAAGTAATTTGAAAACTTTCTGTGAGACATAATTTCACAAACAGCGTGAGTGAATCACTGCACACGCTCTCTCTCTTTCTCTCTCAAAATGCACAAATGACTTCAAATCACATCACGTCTGCACTATAAGCGAGCTGCTCTTGACACAGGAATTGTCACTTGCACAATCGAGGCAGTGTCTCATGTCAATAAAGTTTATAAATAGCATTTCGTTTTAATTCTTGCCAGTGTTTAAACCATTCAGTGCTCGCGTGCTCTCCTGGAGACCGTGCGCTCATGCACACTCGCAGCGCACACACATAACACCAGGTTCACATTACGCCGTTAGCGGTACGTATATTTTCCACGCTTATGTTAACGGATTAAAGCGTTCACACTGTACACAGTTGCGGTCCGGTATTCTGACGATTTGTGCTACCCGCTCAGATTGTGCTACCTCCCATTAAAAAGATAGGTAGCACAAATCGATAGCGAAAAATGAGACCCATCAGATTGTGCTACCATCATCTTATTCATGTAGTTTGAGGCTTTTTAAAATGTCCATAACTACCCCTACCCTAAACTTACCCACCCATACCTACCCTTACCCTAAACTTACCCTTAAAACAATGCAAATATATTTTTGGTAGCACAATCTGATAGGTAGCATGTTTTGTCAGTACACCAGCAGTGTGTTCCAGGAGCGGTGCGTCTGCAGCAGTGCAGAGATCGTTCCCGCACCAAGTCTATTTTTGTTTTTTATTAAAGTAACAGCGCTTTGTTTGCTGTGAATATGAACATGGATTGACACGAAAATGTAGTAATTACACCATAAATGCATATAATTAATGTCTACTGTGTCTAGTGTCAGGCTATGGCTTTTGGCTAGGTTAAAAGGAAAAGAGCACTTTTAGATAAACAAGGCAATAATAGATGGCACTCGTGGAGGTAGGAAAACTAAGTTCTTTATGAACCGCAGGATTGCTTGTAATAAAGATTTAAATGCAAAAGAAAAGGCAGCAGAGCTGACTGTTTCTGACAATGGTAAGTTTTAAATTTAGAATGTTTATGATAATGTAAGAAAAGTAGTTTAAATGTGTTGCCACTTGCTTGAGCAACTTAATATATCAATCTAGAAGTAAATGCAAAAGTAAAAAGCATTGAATAATGTCTTTCTAATATTTATTGTGTTTAAACACGTCTATGAAATTGTATTACTGTACTGTGTAAAAAAGAATCTCAAAGCTGAAAAAGCATTTTATGTAACAATGTTTGGATTTGAAATCAAAATAATGGATAAATGTTGTGTTTGTAGTAAACAGCCACGGATCAGTTGCAGACTCCTGTGTGAAAGCACAGTCAGTGCTGCTTCTGCACCACTTACGTACCACACATGGACTGCATACGCACTGCAAACGGAGTATGTGTGAACCTGGTGTAAAAAGCCACCTCACATACAGCTCACCAAATCAGGCTTGTGCTGTGTGTAAGCTATTGTGCAACAATGGCACGACTTTCAAAACAAAAATGCATGGCATGATCAAACATTTAGGTGAGATAAATATATATTTTTGAAAAATGTCTAAAAAAAATGCCCCCCTCCACCCCCCAAATAAAAAAATCCCCTCTCACAAGAGTCACCTAAGAGGGGAATTAATTTTCAAAAATGAAATTCAGGCCCCGAATAAATGTCTAAAAATCTTGATTGGATCATCACTATAAATAATTCTACATGATAAAAAGGAGGTGATCGTATCGGCAGATACTGCTTTCTGTGATCGGTGATCAGCCTCAAATATCCTGATTGGAGCACCCCTACTATTTAAACAAATTGTACCGAGCTGAAACATACAGTGGAAAAGCGCCAAAAGCAGCAGGTGGTGGCAGCCTAGAGTGTCAGGCTGTAATTGGGTGGTATGGTTGTGGAGTCTGAATGTTGACTGCTGGACAGTGAAAGTGTGTTGATGGCATTGGGGAAGTGACCACCTCAGCTGAAGCCCTCCGTTCAGATTTCAGGCTTTGAAGCTCATGACAAAGCACAGCATTCTGCTGACACATCTCTCGGAATGCTGAGATTATCATTAAATTGTCTCCTTGCTGGCAGAGCAGGGGTTTCTATTTCAGCATAAGACATATCTGTAGCAGCCTGCTCATTCAGCTAGAACAGGGTAGGCAAGTTTGGTCCTAGAGAGCACCTGTCCTGCAAGATTTAGCTCCAAACCTTAAAAAAAAAAAAAAAAAA